TTACTAGTTCAAGAGTTTCCTAATGTCAGAGGTTTCCAGGGAAGGCCCAGGACTCCATAACTATGATGTTTGGTGGTTTTATGGTATGTTACATTTCTATGGATGCAATGTTGTGTAGATATATGTGTTCATGTGCGTTTTATTTTTCATGCATTAGTGTGTGAAGTCATGCGAGATGTATTACCTAGTTTGCCACTGAAATGTGACATCATGTTTCTGATTACATGCATGTTTATAAGTGCATGCATGTTTATAATTACATCATGTCCACATCTCAACTGTCACTTCCTCATGAACAAACTGTCACTTCCAATGGCTGTGGATTGCGGGTGTGTTGGGCATGATGGTTGACGAGCGGCTGAACGCGCTAACGGCAGATGAAGACCTTCCTCCCAATATGCTGAAGACAATTGAAGCAGCAGTACACGAGCAGGCAAAGGAAGGTTACAATGTAAATGAAGAGGATTTCGCTGCGGCTGCAGAACTTGAAGGCAACAAAAAGAAACCAGAAGGACCCAATGATGAAAAGAAACAAGACGAGCTCAACAGCAGGGCAGCACCGCTAGAGTCACAGTCACAGAAGCCAGGGGAGCGGGTCGAAGCCGCATCCGGAGCGGAAACCGCTGAACAGCCGGTAGACAATACAGCGGCTAATGCTAAGGCTGGCATGCCGCAAAATGACAGTGTGGATAAGACAAGCAAGAATTATCTTGCAGACAAAGGCAAGAGCAGCGCCAATGCTGCAAGACCAGACCCAGAAAATGAAGAAAAACCGCAGACAGCAGCAGCCTTGTCGGCTCCAATCGCCACCACCAAAGATGAGAATCAAGAAACAAAAAGCCAGGCTAGCCAGCCACAAACGGCGGCCGCAAATCAAGGCCCTTCTGTTTCTGCGGGCAGCCCCGCCAAGGAACAAAACAAAAACCCGCAAAGCCCACGAGCAGAAGCAAAGGAACGGAACCAAGAGAAACCAAGCCCGACAAAAGGGTCAAAGGGAACAGAGCAAAAAACACACGAGGGTTCTCAGGATGCCCCAGTGCTGCCCAAAAAGGCAGACAAAGAAGCGGACAAAACAACGCCGCAATCAGAAGAGGCCCCGCCAAATTTAAACACTGGCGCGGAGCCAGCCGCTCCGACGAGCAAAAGAAAGGCGAAAGCAGCTGCAGCAGCGCCCCTGGTTTCGAAAGGGAAGACACAGCCCGCAGCGAAGGGTGATGCCAAGAAAAGACAACGTAAGTAAGCCATGAAGCAGAAAAATGCAGCGGGAAGCCCCGTAAAACAAGAAAGGTGAGAAACAAACGAAGCAACAGTGCGAACCCTTGCGCGCCAGACAGCAGAAGCTGAAGCAGCTGCAAAAGCAGCCGGAAGATCCGCAGAGGCACAATAAAAACATTTGTCAGCCCATGCTGGGAGCCGCAGAAAGCTGGGCGTAAGAACAAATGAAGAAGCTGGCGGGCAGCCCCGCAAACCAGATAGCGCAAGAAATTTGCGCAAGTTTTGACGGCTTGTTGCACTCAGAGCCATCAGATTCAGTAAAATCGATTGCAGCTGCCTGTGCGAGGTCTTCCGGCCATATGTTTTCACGCATTCGCTTGCAACTCATGAGCTGAGTTTTAACATTTCTGCAAATCAAAGTGTTTGTTTGTTTCTTTTTCGGGCGAGTTGAAAAAAAGCAGCATTTTAATCGGGGCATAGTGTTTGCAGTCTGCAATTCTGTGGAACTAACGCACAAAAGGTGAAATGAGCAGATCGTAATTTTAGGCTTGGAACCATACGCAAACAAGGACTCAGCCAATCTCACACTGCAGTAGACTTCCCATCCCAGGCCAGAGGATGGGTGGCACTGAACTGCGTGGGGTTGACAGAGGAACAGAAGGCGATCGAAGGCTCAGGGAAGCCTACAATTTGATGACATCAGCTCAGCTCTGCGTTCATGTTTCCCAGCATACAAAGCCGTTGGGAAAAAGAGAAACAACACTGTTTTTCAAGCAGAACTGGATCAGGCCGAACAAGCTGAATCTCTCGACAGTGGATTTGGAGATGTAGAAGCCTTTCTGGCAGATCATGATGCTGCCTTCACTGATCTTCTGGAGGATCGTGATGAGGTCTTCACAGAGGAGGAAGCTGCTGAGGCACTAGCGGTTTCTTGGCGCGAGAGAAGAAAAGAGATTGCAAAGTTTCAACAAGCAAGACAGTTTGGTCCAGCTGGAAAGACTCGTCGAAGTTTTCGGGTCGAGATAGAAGAGCTCAAGAAGAAAACACGCTGTAGGAAGTGCAATCAGATCGGCCATTGGGCCAAGGAATGCAAAAATCCCACAAGCAGCAATCGTGACTCTAGTGACAACAAAGCATCAAGCTCCAACAGTGCTGCCGTCAACTATGTTGAAGCTGAAACTGAATCATGCTCCCCCACAGTGGAGCCCTCCTTCGTAGGAGTTGCAACGGAGGTGATGGCTGCCACACTGGTACAATCACCGGGCTTTGGGGTGATAGATTCTGGATGTGGACGAACGTTGATAGGCAAGGACACACTGGAACTGTTGAAACCAATGATGCAACAAGCTGGAATCAACAGTATGACGGAGTACAAGGCAGAGAATTCTTTCCGCTTTGGTAATGGTGCTGTTGAAAAATCGGAGATAGCTGTCAGACTTCCAGTGGGAATTTCCGGCAAATATGGTCTGATTGATGCAGCAGTCATCACTGGCTGTGCGCCCCTGCTCATTGGGCGCCCGACCCTGGAGAAACTGCGAGCCAAGATTGATTTCGACCAAGGTATGCTCCACTTTCTGGACACCAAGACCAAGATGATCACCAACTCAGCTGGTCAGGTCCTTATCAATATCCTGGAGTATCCGAAGTCAGAGACATCATCTTCCAAGTCTCAGGACTCCGCAGTCAAAACCTGTGATGCAGGGGTAGTGAGTCATAGCAATGGCAATAAAAATTCAAGGGATAACCAAAAGGGGATAACCAACACTAAGACAAGGGTTACTCTAAAGAAAAAGGAATGCAGATGTCTCCTCGCGCAAATTAACCAAGGGGACAACAAGAATAGCTCCAGAGTGTTGGTTGCCGAACTGTTCTCACCGCCGAGATTCACTCTCGAAGCCGAAAAATTGGGTAAGAAGGGTTTGTCTTATGATATCCAACAAGGGTGTGACTTAGATAATCCAGAAACCCAAGCCAGAGTCAGCCGAGAGTTGGATGAAGCCAAACCAGAGCTTCTGGTTGTGTGTCCACCATGCCGCAATCGTGGAGGATGGGAACATCTCAACAGATGCTATCGTTCCCCTATTGAGACCGCCAGACTCATACGTAAGTCCCGTAGGCAAGTGGATGTCTGCACTGATCAAATTCATCGTCAGCTGAGGCGAGGTGGAGAATTCATGTTTGAACATCCGTTGCCGTCTGAAGTGTGGAAGGACCCTCCAATGGCTGCTCTGAAGCGTAGGTTTGGGGTTAAAAGGGTTGACATGTGTGCATATAACCTCAAATGCCCCGATACTGCAGTGCCTATCCAAAAGGCGACAGGCATTATGACCTCCAGAGCAGACTCCAGCGGTTTCCACACGTGTCCCGGCTGTCCAGAACATCGTCCAATCGAGGGCAAGCTCAGGAGTGGCCAGAACGTGAGCGCATTTTGCGCAACATATACTCCTCAGTTTGTGAAAAGCATGTTGAAAACCTTAGTGCCAGAAAGCATGTGCCAGTCTGAGAAGCCTTGCCTAGCAGTAGATGCCGAGCTTGAATGCCTTGTGAGTGAAGCCGTAGCACAGCCCGCGGCGGAAGCAGCTCAGCCGGTGGCAGAACAACCGGATCCAAAGATCATGCAAGCCATTCGCAAGCTTCATTGTAATTTGGGTCACCCCAATGTCAAGGATTTGGTCAGAATTCTCAGGCATAGCAATGCCACCAGTGAAGCCATTCGTGCCGCCCAATCCTTCCAGTGCGATGTTTGCCACAACCATGTTCAGCCAGCCAGTGCTTTGCCCGCCAAGACATCACGCACAACTGAATTCAATGAGAAGATAGGACTTGACGTGAAATATCTCCCAGGCTGGAACACCAACCAACAAGTACCATGCATCAGTATCGTAGATTATGCAACATCCTTACATGTAATGGCCCCCATTTTTCATAGAGAAACTGCTGAGGTCACGAAGGGTGTTCTGCGTGATTCATGGATTTCCTGGGCAGGCGTTCCTCACAACTTGGAGTTAGATCCCTCAAGTTCCAACTTAAGTGAGATGCTGGGTGAATACTGTGAAAACATGGGTATCAATGTTCAGCACATAGCAGCTGACTCTCACTGGCAGTTGGGAAAGGTGGAGAGGCATGGACACTGGTTTGCCAAGATCTTTGAACGAGTTTGCGATGAGTGCCAGCCAACATCAGCCGAAGAGTTTGTAGACTGTGTGATGCAGACCCAAGTAGCTAAGAACTCTCTCATTAGCGAAAGTGGTGCAAGCCCATATCAACTGGTGTCTGGTAGGAATCCTAGGGTCCCACAAGACTTGCTTCAGGAAGACACTCATGTCGCAGCCTCGGATGCAGTTCTTGCCGATGCAGGATACCAAAGATCACAGGCAGTGAGACAAGCCGCTCGCCTAGCAGTGCTTCAATGTCAAGATGACAAGGCACTGAGAAGTGCACTCAGAGCGCGTCCTAGAGTTCAACGACAGTTCATGTCAGGTGAATGGGTGTATTACTGGAGATCTCAAAAGTGGCACAATGGGGTTCTTCTCAAGGGTGGACGTTGGCATGGGGCAGCTCTGATTTTAGGCCGGATCGGCGTCAATTGGGTTGTTGCACACCGCAGAAACCTTTTTAGGTGCTCTCCAGAACAGCTCAGGCATGCAACACAGGATGAACAAGCCATAGCCAAGTTTGATCAGAGTGAACTTTTGGGAATCAAAACACTTTTAGAAAAGGGTCAGTTTCCAAAGAGTCAATTTGTCGATTTAGTGAACCAAGAGCAGCCAGCTCAACCGGAGCACATGGTGGAACAGGTGCAACAAGGTGCAGTCGCCAGATCAGCCGGCGAATTAGCTGCAGTACCCGTTCCGACTCCAGCCAAGCCAAACAGTGCTCCTGCTGAAGAATCTTCTCACATGGATCAATCAACAAATGCTATGATTCCCAATCCACCAGAGTTTGATGCAGTTCGCAAACAACTGGAAGCAATGCCACGCACGGATGCCTATGGTCCATGGAGACAAGTGAGACATACCACCAAAAGACCTCCCGAGTATCTGAGCAGACCTCCAGTCATGCAACAAGATGATTTTTCTGAGATGATGCAGGAAATGGTTCCAACTCTCCTGGAACAACATCTTCAATCAAGTGAATTGGGGAATAGTACTGGGGATAGTGGGGATAACCATAGTCCTAGAGGGGATTCTTCCAAAAGAGAAGCCAGCGCTGAACAAGACGGAGATCGACCAGCAGTTCGAGCACGTTTATCAGGCCCTGAAGCTGAGACAAGTGACACTCTGTCAGCTGAACTTCTTCACAAATCTCAAGAAATCGAAGTGTTGCTAGCTGCGTTTTTGCAAAAAAGGGCACAGAAAGAAATCAAGCCATATGGCCATGAACCGTCCTTACAAGAAAAAATCGATGAATCCAAAACCATGGAATGGGAAACTCTATTGGGAAAACAGGCCATCAGAATCTGGACTGGGCAAAAAGCCAAAGACATACGCAAACATCAGAGTCACCGTTTTATAGGTAGTCGATTTGTCGTGGTCAACAAGCAAGATGAAGAAGGTCAGAGGATCAAATCCAGGTGGTGTCTTCAAGGTCATTTGGACCCAGACTTCAAGGAGAAGATTGGCTCAGGGGTTTGTCATTCGCCGACTTTGCATCAGCTGTCTCGTGCACTTGTTCTTCAAATTTTGGTGAGCAAAGGATGGATGTTACAACTGGGTGACATAAAAGGGGCTTTCTTAGAAGCGGGGGCCCTCGATCAAAAGTTTTCTCCATTATATGCACACCAACCAGAAGGAGTGCCTGGACTGAGTCCAGACGATGTCATTGAGGTGATTGGCAATGTTTATGGTTCCAATGATGCTCCGTTTAACTGGTGGCATACCTTTGACAAAGAGGTACAAGCAGGCGGTTGGCACAAATCACAGTTCGATAACTGCTTATACTACCTGTTTGACAAAACTGAAGATGATGCAGAACCACAACTTGTTGGGGTCCTTGGTGCTCATGTAGATGATACCATTACAGGAGGTACTGACCTACATATCAACGTGCCATCGAAAAGCTTAAGGCCAGGTTCCCATATAGGAAATGGAGACAAGGAAATGGAGAGTTTTGCGGAGTACAATACTCCCAAAACCCAACCACCATGGAGATCACATACCAACAAAAGGAGTATGCAGAGAACCTTCGTCCAATCTCGCTCACCAAAGAGAGACAGCGGAATAAGGAGGCTCCAGCTACTGAGAAAGAAATAGCGGCACTCCGAGCGATCAATGGTGCAGCCAACTGGCTCAGTAGCCAGTCCAGGCCTGACCTCAGTGTGCAGACGTCGTTTTCTTAGCAGTGCTTTCCATCGCCCAAGGTCAAAGACCTACTGTTGGCAAACCAATTGGTGCATCGGGCTAAACAATACAGCAATGTTGAAATCACTGTCAAGAAGATTCAATGGAATGACTTGTGTATTTGTTTTCACTCAGATGCTGGTTTTGGAAACGCAAAGGCTTACAGTACACAGGCTGGATACATTGCCTCTTTTGCTGACAAAGGACTTTCAGAAAACAAAACAAGTCAGTGGTCTCCATTTGCATGGAAATCATATAAGCTCCCTCGTAAAGTAGCATCAACTCTAGCAGGTGAAGCACAAGCATATGCCACTGCATCAGCTGTTTGTGAGTGGATGTCGTTGATGTTAGCTGAAGCGAAGCATGGAGCCTTTGACTTGCGTAGTAGTCAGCTGTGGCAGGAATCACCAGCTCCAGCCATCCTGGTGCATGGAATGAAGCTTCGTGACCAGGTGTCTCAAGTTCCAATAGTTGGCATCACCGATTGTAAGAGTTTGTATGACAATCTCATATCCATGTCCTCAGTGTCAAAAGCAGAGGATAAACGAGTTGCCATAGATCTTGCAATAGTGAAACAGAGCATGGTAAGATGTAACCTTTGCATTCGATGGTGCCCAACGGGACTGATGCTTGCAGATGGTCTTACCAAGGACCAACAAGATCCCGCCGATCTTTTGCGTTCAGCTATGTTTCTAGGAGAATATCAACTGAACGAAGAAGCTTCAGTGTTGGAACAAAAAAAGAGATATCGAGACGAACGCCGCCTAAGACAGATCAGACAAGCCAGAAAAGAAGAAGATGATCAAAAACGCAAAGCTGAAAACCGGAAGTTCCAAAATTAATGCAGTCTTGTGTTAAATAATCACGGGGATTAGGATAACATAAGCGTGGGGATAAGTAGGGGTTTTATACTTGTCACTTCAAGCCGTTCATGTAAAGAGCTGGCTCACCAATCCACGTGCCTGTGCTGCTTTTCAGAGTTTTATTTGTCAAAGCACGATCGCCAAAAAGGTGATCAGAAGCACCTCTGCCGCTCCTTTACTCTGCAGTGCTTGCGTAATCATGGCGTCCTCGAATGGAGCTGATTTCGACATGACTCAGGCTGTCGCCATCATCAATGTCCTGCGCCAGACTGGAATGTGGGACCAAGCTCTCAAGGCCGCTGATCGAGCTGCGATGAGTCAGTTTGAGTCGGGGAAAAGTGACAGCTCTCATGGAGCCATGCATGATGGCAGCAAACGTCGGCTGTTTGCTGATGCTCCGGGAAGCTTCAGTGATGATGCAGAAGAGTTCGGCGTGATCTCAATGACCGGCGCTGAGGCTCCGAAGCAAGAGCCGATCCTTCCAAGTGCAGCCGTTCATGTAAAGAGCTGGCTCACCAATCCACGTGCCTGTGCTGCTTTTCAGAGTTTTATTTGTCAAAGCACGATCGCCAAAAAGGTGATCAGAAGCACCTCTGCCGCTCCTTTACTCTGCAGTGCTTGCGTAATCATGGCGTCCTCGAATGGAGCTGATTTCGACATGACTCAGGCTGTCGCCATCATCAATGTCCTGCGCCAGACTGGAATGTGGGACCAAGCTCTCAAGGCCGCTGATCGAGCTGCGATGAGTCAGTTTGAGTCGGGGAAAAGTGACAGCTCTCATGGAGCCATGCATGATGGCAGCAAACGTCGGCTGTTTGCTGATGCTCCGGGAAGCTTCAGTGATGATGCAGAAGAGTTCGACGTGATCTCAATGACCGGCGCTGAGGCTCCGAAGCAAGAGCCGATCCTTCCAAGTGCAGGAACCACCGTTCCCTTGGTTCCAACCTGCAAGTTGCCTCCGGGAGTGGAGTCAATTGAGATGTGGGGAAAGACTATTTGCACGTTGCCGAAGATGGCAAACCGCAGGTGCACCTATGAGAAGTTGATTCAGGAAGCTGGCGTGAATGCCGAGACCAAAGAATACTTGGCATGGATCAGTCGCAATGCTCACAAGTCAGCGAAGGCAGCTGATCTGAAGAGCTATATGCAAGCTATGAAGTATGACCCGAACAAGGTCACCGGAGTGAATTACCCAGGCACCACTGCAATTCGAGAGTTTGGAGAATGAACGATTTTTCAAGGGCAGAGAAATCTTTTGTTTACTTTTGAAACACTTAAAAGGGAGTGTTAATTCGACATGGCAGTCGGGTAAGGGTATCAACCTGTACGCTGCTACAACCGCAGCGGAACTTCAACTCAAGCATAGGCAGAAAACAGGAAGAGCCGCAATGCTTGCCCCTGGTGGGGCTCTCCGCACTTTGTGATATATATATATATATATATACACGCACACACGTACACATTTATTCACATGTGTAAATCAATGGAATGTCGTGTTATGTGATGCGATGCAATGTGATTTAATGTAATGTCATGTAATGTACGACATATGTGCACGTATATGTATATGCATACGTGCATATGTGTATTATGACGTAGACGGATGGAGTGAGGTGAATGAGGCATTGGCATTTGGAGAGAGGGAGGTAGCTCCCAGTCAGAGACCTGTAACTCTTTGAAGCGACCTGGTAGGATATTACGATCATGTTCACTTAATAAGCTCGTGCTACCCTCTGGTAATTGAACATAGCTATTGAAAAGCACCATTCCTGACAGTTAATTCATCCAACTAAATGGGTCATAAAATCCACGCAAACTGTTCAACAAATACCAGATGGTACTCTTGCACCATATGGCCGCTGTTTGCAGGTGTTGTGCTACCAATCATCCTGCTCTATGCCTTTGGTGGGACACTGGCTTGCAACCAAAATGCTTCTTGTGGGAGCTCCAGTTTCTGTTGATCTTCACCAGGGTTGCCTTGGCGGCAACCCCCCAAAAAGACTTAAAAAGACAGATACCCTCTGGTAATTTCACATAGCTATTGAAAATGGCCATTTATAGTGATTTTTACCATGACAAATGATGATTTTCCATAGTTATGTTAGTTTACCAGAGGGTAAGTCGCATTAAGTCATACAGTATCCAAAAATGGAAAATAGTGGCAACCGAGTTTTTTTGAAATTTTCCAAAACCATACAGAAAAAGTATTACAGTATCCTATTTTCCATTGGATAACCATGTTCCCAAAACATCCAAAAACCAGCATGGTCCATTGATGGGCCCTGGGCCCTGGCTGAGGATCCCATGTGTCCTTTGGGGTTTTTTCGCGCGAGTGGTGTGGTCCGGGAACCCACAGCATTCGCCAGAACAAAATTTTGGGTTTCGTGGCCGTGGCGAAGGTGACTGTGATCCAAAATTTGTTTCTCGGGATGGACATGTTTCTATTCACTTATATTTATATGACCTAGATCTAGATTTGTAATTATTTACAATGTATCTCAGTTTTATGTACTGTATATTATCAATGTCTATTATATGTATATTATAAATGTACCTGTGCATCCAAAATTTGATAGTTATACCATGTTATACCTGATCATTGTGCATGTTACCCTCTGGTAATTTAACATAGCTATGGAAAATCACCATGCTGTTAATGGGAAAATCCACTATAAATCACCATTTTCAATAGCTATTTTGACATAACCAGAGGGTATTTTTCAAAGACATCACCAGCCTCAGTGGCCCAGGTTTTGGCACATTACATGGTCAGTGAATTCTGCACGACGCCTCAGATCCGGCATCCATTGGTTTTCAGGAGGGATTCATGGTCGGTAAAGGGACCCCTTGGACGGAAATCCAAACAGCATTGGAATATGCAAAATTGGAAGAGATCATATGATATCATATAGTACTATTATAGTATATTATAGTACTGTATACCTGGCATTTGGATGGATTTATAGTACTGTATTACCTGTATACCTGGCATTTGGCCTGGCATTTGGTGCTGTTTGCGGTGGAAACCGTTAGCAGATGGTGCAAGAGATGATTTTATGTGATTGTTGTGCAAAAAAATCATGCAAGATTTCTTAAAGTATCAATGGCCATTTCAGGGAACAAAATATCCCAAAATATGGCCTTAATGAAATATGGTACATATATAGTACCTCCATCAATTGGATCCTGAAGATCTCCCATTGAAAGTAGGACCGTTCCATCAATCTCCAGTCGAAAACTTGGAGCTAATTTGCTGAGGTCAGCCACGTGGGGAGCCCAGTCGAAAGTTGACTCACCGTTGACCCATCGATGTGTTTGAAGGAGTTTAGGGGCCTTGGTATTTTCCGGTACCGGTAGATGTCCAGTACTCTCTATGAGGACAGGTGTTTCCGGCCATATTTCCCTTCAATTCGGGAAGGAGCTGCAGAGTCTGTGGGCCATTGAGGTTTGGGGATTCCAAGATTGGAACACCGGCAGGGGCCCTAAGGTTACCTGCTACCATGGGCTGTTTGAAGACAGCTATGGGGGTGGGAAAACCTAATGCATGATGAATATGATGATGAATGCCCCTTATATTGACGTATTGATGCCTTTTTTTGGGTGGGGAAGCACGAAGCACGAGATCAGGCTATCGAAGATTATCCTCAGGTAATTTTGTCATCGCTGTGGAAAATGGCTCATTGATGCTCTGGCTATACGTGGTTGAACAGGATGATTTCCAAAGCCGAGCGAGGTGATCTCTCCATGAACAACTGGCTGGTCAGAAGCCCAGCGGGTGACCTCCTGATATTCCTGTGATGCATCAACTGACGCCGCTGCTCGCAATATTCAGTTAAAGACACACGCACACACACACACGCACACACACACAATCACACACACACGACATATCTATATTAGTATATACATTATATACATATAAATATATATACATATGTATATATATATATACATATGTATACATATATATATATACACATATGTATATATACATATGTAATATATGTCTTAATACACACACACACATAAATAAATATTTTGACAAATAGACAATACATAATTATGTAATAATTAAATAAATAGGTAACAAACAAATCAAAAAAATAGATACCAAGTAAATCAATAAACAATCAAATAACAATAAATAAATATAAATGAAATTAAGTAAATACACACACACATATATCTGTGTGTGTGTGCACGCGGTCCCTTTCTGACCCTTGAACTGAGCCGCAGGTGGGCATCTTGGCCTTCGGAGAAGGGTGGCACAACAACCACCACGCCTTCGAGCGATCCTGCAGGCATGGGCTGAAGTGGTGGCAGGCCCGGTTCGGGGGAGGACGACTGGGGAGCATGGATTGGGTGAGGATCTTGTGGATGGTTGCGAAATCCTACACCAAAAGGATGGTTGAAAGCCTTTAAATCATTGGATAATCCACCGTGTTCAACTGGTGCAGGAGTTCGCAACCATCCACGTGTGTGACCAATTTGGGACAGTCATGTTTGAATACCATAATCGATTGACAGCGTTGTTTGACAAGATTAGGTGGTGCCGACGAGATAGGGAGGACTGGTAACCAGTTCACACATTTACACACATATAATATACATATATGATATACACATATATAGTTTTTTTTTGTATATTTTATCATCACACACACATATACACATATACATAATCATATATATAAATATATATGTTATATTTATGTGTTTATGTGCGGATTGGATTACATTAGACCTGCCTTCCAACCAATGTTGGCAGGTGGACTTCACCTGGTATGCCATTCGGCTGCTGGAGGTGGATGCCCCAGATACAGCCGTGAACCCCACGGCTTCACTTCATCAAGGTTGTTGAGCTTGGAGGAAAGTAACAGATTACATTTGGACGAATATATATATATATATGTGATTATTATATATATATATATGTGTGATTATGTGTGTATGTCTATGTGCGTGTATTCATGTATATATATAATATACACATTTAAATATATTGTTATAATCTAAAGAAAAACACATAGATGATCTAGATAGATACAAGGCTTGCTCTTGAGAAGAAAAGCCTGCACATACATGGTGGAAACAGTTGCATGCATATGTATATGTATGTATGTATGTATGTATGTATGTATGTATGTATGTATGTATGTATGTATGTATGTATGTATGTATGTATGTATGTATGTATGTATGTATGTATGTATGTATGTAATTAATGTATGTATGTAATTAATGTATGTATGTAATGTAATGTAATGTAATGTAATGTAATGTAATGTAATGTAATGTAATGTAATGTATGTATGTATGTATATGTATATATGTATATATGTATATATGATTATATATGTATGTATATATATATAGGTAACATATATGTACATATTTACATACACATAGTCAATTCTTCCAGAAGATCTCAGATGAATCCTGCATGCGTAACCGAGATGATGGGCTTGGCATGGAATTTGCAGTTGGGAGCTAAGCCTGAGTTGTTCTTTGGGAACACCTGCAGGGGATTTCGCTTCATGTTATGATTTTACATCACCAAATGTTGCGAAACTTTGCTGGTTAACTTGGTGGTTTTAACAATCTCTTGGGATTTACCAACGGCATACCAACGGCCAATGGATATTTCATGTGTGAAGAAAAACAAAATAGAGATGCCAAGCAAATGAAACCTGAATGCGGTGGTTTGGATGTGTCAATGCTGCTGTACATAGTGTGGATGGTAAACGGTTGCATCCAATAAACTGGATTCAAACTCACCAACTATGATGGGAATCTGTTGGATGATTTTAGTACCTGTTGTTGTTCACAATCTTATACACTCTTCGTGGTTGATGCTTTGGAATTTGATCTTGCGGATCTTGCGTTCTTTTTGTTGGGGGGTCCGGGCACCCTAAGGAACCGAGGTAATGACCTCCCTGACCGCCCCCCAAAGGGTTGATCGAAGAACCTCGGCTCAGGTACCCCTCAGAACGCCGCAAGCAAAAACTGGCGTTGACATAGTGCAGGAGCGGATCGCCGTCCCTTGCCACCAAAGTACCGCAATGGTCAAATGCTGGTGAGTTCCTGAGATTTTTTGAGGATTCTTGAGGTACTGGGTCAAAGTGGTAACTTATGCCGCGGTCATCTTCTTGTGCCGCAAACGGTGTGCCGTCGGGAAGTCCATGATATACATGTCATTCTTGCTGGATGAATCAATTGTTTGTGGCA